TCTTTCCCTCCTGATACAAACCTATGGAAGCACTTTTGAGAACAAACCAGAGAGCCCTAAAATATCTATGTTCCATATACTTGAAAACATTGCATAAAGACAGAATTTTGGTCGATGAAGCTACCATTTAAATGGTTTTTTAGTAGAAGCTCATCATCAGACAGTCACAGATGTACTATTTTTTTTTTCCCCCTATTTAAAAGGTCAGGTTTTCTTAGTTGGTGCTTTCTTAAGGTACGGCACATATGCACTTGTTTTCTTACCTCTTTTTGCCTTGGCTACTAGGAAGCTCCAAGACAAATGTAATAGACAACTACCAGTAGATTAGGGATATATATATTGCCTTCTCTTCCTTAAAACTTGCTCTGATTTTTTATTTTCTCTTAATGCTATTATTATAACTCTATTATACGTACATTAGGGTATAAGTAATAAATAAGAAAGAAATAAACATTTCTGGAACTTCTGAATTACCAAAGTCAATCTGAAGCTCCCACATTAGTCCAGACCTAAGAAGCCCGGTACCACCTTCCTGCTCTAAGTTATCGTCACCTGCGTTGAGAGCTGGAATTTTAGCTAATGGCCCTCCCAACAATCCAGGCAGGCACCCTCTGTACGGTGCTCTTGCACTGCTTGGCTGTGTACAGAGAAAACTAGCAAAAGTCTACCATTTCTGCCATGGACCGCAATCCTGGCAGGTATTATAGAAATTGAGTCGAAGGTGGCCTCTGTGTGTTGGTCCTATGGTATTTATTTCTTCACCATAGTCTGGGATCTCAAGAGCCCACTGGTGCCAAGGTCAAATTTTTACCCATTCAACTGTTTAAAATGAAGCTCCAATAAGAAGATTTTTTAGCTGTTTAGAATCTGCCTGTTTTGCATACCCGCTAAAGCTGCACCCAACATCTGCTAGTCATAGACAAGATAAACCCCAGGGCTATAAGAGACCCCCAAACTGCTGCTGCTTTGGTGTTCTCCAACCCAGAGACTCCTCGTGGTGCTCTGAATGACACCATCTAGATGCCTAGGCCACCTTTCCAACCCCCTTTCCCCTGCCCTCCTCCTCTCTAGGTAGTGGTCCCAGAACAGCTGCCTTTGGGGGTGGGTGGGCATTGTCATGCAGTGAGGGACTTCCCCCAGATGCAAAGTTGTGAAAGCAGCAACCACTCAAATTAAACTCATTGTGTGCTCCGGCCGTTTTGTGGTCATATCTTCTTCCTTGAGCAACTGCTGAAATCCCTCAAACGCACTACACTAGGGCAGGGACGTGAGCAGGCTTGTATTCCCAGGCATCTCCCTCAGGACAAAGTCCTGCCAGGAGCCGCTCCTTTCCCATTTGGAGACACCCACTCTGCGGGACTGCATGGGCAGCCACTGGGGCAGGTCAGCATTCTGTATTCACTCTGTTCAAGCGTGTGCCCCAGCGTAGATTAGGTACCCAACATGTTTGATGAAGGCCCACCTGGAGGAATAAACGTGTAAACAATAAGGTCTTGCACACATAAACACGGTAATGCAGCAAAAGGACCTGGCAGCCAGGTAAAGAGTTAATAAAGTTTGCTGGGCAGAGGGATTCCTGGATCTCTTTGCTGATGGGCGTGAGGGGACCTGGGAACACTCCAAGTGCGTCACAGGGCTGCAGGACCTGTTCGAAGGTCCGGCCGGCCTCCCTTGCAGCAGCGCGCCCTCTGCACGGGTGGAGCGCCACTCACCCGCTTCTCCAACATCCTCAGCAGCAGGCGGAAGCGCTCGTCCTCCCGCAAGCACGGTGGAAGCTCTTTCTCCCCGTGGCTCTTGGCCTGTTCCAGCTGCTCCTTGAGCTCCTTCAGCACCAAGATCTCCTGAGTCAGCTGGCTGTGCCAGGTCCTGGTCGCCTGCAGGTCCAACTCGAGGTCCAGCGAGGTGCGTGGTAGGCGCTCAGCACGCAGGGATTTGACAGACGAAGGCTACGGAGGTGGGGATGGTTATTGAGCCGTTATTACAGGGCTGGGTCCAGTGAGCCCACACGACCCCCTGGTCTGAACCTCAGACGCCCTCCCTCCTTCGTTCATCCGCGGGCTTCCGGTCCTTAAAAAATGGGGCTCGCCCTCCCCTTGGAGCCCGTCTTGATGTTTTCCTTGTCTACTGATCGTATTATTGAGCATTTTTATGTCCCAGGCACGGTGCTAGGCCCTTTACTTCTGTTACCTCAGTTCGTTTTCACAGCACTGTGAGGTCCTGACCGTTACCATCTGCACAGATGAGGAGGCTCCCAGAGGTTAAATCACAGAGATTATAAGCAGTAAAGCCGAGATTCCACCCCAGGAGCTGGCTCCAGAACCTACCCGCTCACTCCCTA